ACCTTGTTATCTCAGATTCTCCAGCATCTGCAGTTCTTACTATCTCTGAAACTCTTTATAGGATCTTGAATTAGATCACCCCTGTAATATTCTAAGGAATTCAAGTCTGGTCAATGCAACCAGACCCAGGACTCCTGCATTGCAATGGTAAGTAGTATTCCTACCTCTGAGCCAGGAGGTCTAGGTTCAAGTCTGACCTGCTCCAGACATGTGTAGTAACATGTCTGCACAGGTTGATTAGAAAATACCTAAGCAACTGGTCCTTGAAGTCTAACCCTTTTAGCACTTCACAATCATTCTGGTGGATCTGGGAGGTGGACTATCGGAGTTAATTAAATATGCATTCATGCACTCTGAGAACAAGAATGTTTACCAGCTTTCTGTAGGATTTCTGCCAGTAGTTTCTGTAGCTCCAATGCTGAAATAGCTTCATCCTGCGAGAACAATCAGCTGTCAGTGGAATAACACTGGTTAAAGTATCTCATCTCCCTGTCTCCTCAATATTGGGAGTGAACACAAATAACAGAATAGTGCATTTTGCTTAATCACTTCTTAAGATCGTCAAATCAGTCTGTGCGGAGTTCTGAAGGTTTCATAACACCATTTCCATTTCCCCAACTGCCCCAGCTAACTGAATGGACTCTTTGGGAAATAAGGAGTGATGCCCTACCCGACTGATTAACCTAAGTACCCCGGAAAGAAGTTGACATCTTTGTGACAGAACATAAGGAAACTGGAGGATGGAATAAATGCAAGCTCACCGGTCCACAGATCCTGTCAAACAGTTCCTTGGATTCTGCAGCAGAGGGAAGTGGGCAGGGTGCAAGGATTGGTAGACCCTGAAGATAAGATGTGTGCACAGTCAGAATTTATAGCTCAGTACTCATTATAAGCATCTTCATCAGGTCTCTTCCACCAAAGGACAGAATTTAATTGGATTACTACTTAATTTATTGTAGGAGATCAGTTAAGTTGGACACACTGATTCAAAACCTAGACCTTTGTAATCTACTCTGCACTTACAGAGTTGGAGTATTTTACAACATGAAAGAGGCTCTTTGGCCCATCATATATCAATTCTTGCCCTATCTTCCAGCACTTGGCCTATAGCCTTGTACGCTGTGGCATTTCAGCTGAACTATCAAGAGATGGCTGATGATTAATAACTATCTTAATCATAGACAAGTGTTACTGTTCTTTCCAAGTGGCCCACTGATCATCAGCCCATCCACCGCTTTAAACCTTCACTCCTGTCACCAGCAGCACACTGTAGCTACAGTATGCACCATCTGTTCTGGAAGATGTACTCCAGCAACTTGCCAAGCCTCCTTCAACAGTACCTTCCAAACCCCTTACTTCTATCACTTCGGAGATGGAGAACAGTAAATGCATCCAACACCATCACCTACAAGTTCCTCCCCTAATCTTGCACTCCATCCTGAAATAGGATTTGGTTCACTGTTGCCTCATGATCACTGGGTCAAAATTCTCAGACTCCCTCCCGAACAGCACTGTGGACCTAGACCACTGCAGTGGTTGAAGGAAACTGCTCACTACCACCTTAAGTAACGGTGGACAACAACATACACACATACACGCACCCACACTCACAGAGTCACATGCGTGCATGCACAGACACACTTCTGTACTTGCCTGAGGATTCTCAGTGGATGAGGTGTTCCGCTCTGCAGGCCTGGAAGACAGATGCATTAATTAAACTAGGTACCTGAGAATAAACTACCCAAGAATAACATGACAATACCTCAGATACCTGGGAATAGATGACACCTCTGGATCCAAGGACAGCTAACATCGATGACCACTTAATCACACTCTCCTGTTCTTTTCTAACACAGCCAGCAAATCTCTCCTCTTTCAAGTACAAACCCAGTTCCTCATCTGAAAAATTCTGATTGAATCCAATCACAGCACCTCGCTCCCTAAAACAAAATACTTCATTGTCCCTGGCTATTTTCATTCTTGGATAAAGGAACTTGTGCTTACTCAGCGATGTTACCCTTCTCAGTGAAGACTCGCAAAAGGAATTCTCCCTCTTCGTTGGGATTGGCAGTTGATGGGATGATGACGTAGTGGCCTGGTGGTAGGCAGCCTCGCATCATGACCTCAGTGCTGTTTTTGTGCTCCTTTACAGAGAGCACTGGTGATGCTTCTTGTAAATCCTCATGGGTCAAGAAAGCTTTTGTAGGGTCTCCCTGTGAAACAGAACAGCTACACAGTGGGGGGCTGTAGTTACTGATTTAGAAAGAGGAGTGAAGGAGAGATGGAGGGGGGGGGGGAAGGCGAGAGAGAGAGGAAGCAGAGAGAGAGAGAGAGAGAGAGAAGGGGGGGAAGGAGAGGAGTGAAGGAGGGGGGGTGAGGTAAGACACAGAGAGAGAGAGAGAAAAAGAGAGAGAGAAAGAGAGAGAGAGACAGAGGGAGAAAGAAAAAGAAGTTGACTTCATAAGAGAATTGGGACCCCACACAGCACCCTCACCTTAAAGATATCAAAGCCAATATACAGGAAGTTAACTCCTGTAAGCCGCATCCGCCGCCTGTGTTTCTGCATCAAGACCACCAGGAAGGTGCAGGTCACCTCAGGGTCATCAGGATCATCATCTTCTTCGAAAAGGGTGAGTTTGAACTGTGGGTTCATCCAGTAGTACTTATCTGAAAGCAGTAAATTAGAAAGGAATAACGCAGAATAAGCGTCTGCACCGCTTGGCCTAGGACTTGGGCCATCAGAAATACCTGGGCACACAAATAGCTGGCATCCTCTAGCTGTTGGTGCATGACCCTCGCTCACTAACTCAAGGGCAGCTTATTTACCATTGGGCTAAAGAGACATTAGGAAGCTCCATCCTCTGCGCTGTGACTCACTAACGATGGACACACATCATAAAATCAGCACTTCAAGGAAGGGTCATCAAACAAAATTTGACACTAAACTACAGAAGGATATTTTAGCACGCAGAACCAAAAGCTTTATCCATGGGGAAAGTTTAAATAAACATTTTAAAAATGAAAGGGAGATGGAAAGAAGCTTAGGAACTGAAATCAGGAGTTTAAGCCCTGGACAGCTGGAGGCAGGGCACCCAATTTTGGGCTGAAGGAAATTAGGAATCTGTAAGATCGAGATTGGAGGATTGTAGGGTTGGAGGAGATTTCAGAGTAAAGAGGACACAGGGAAATTTGAACACAGGATGAGAGCTTAAATATGGAAGTGTCACTGGTTTTGGAAGCCAAAGGTGATCAGTGTAGGCGTGGAATAGAAGCAGCCAAGTTTCAGATGTGTGCAAGTTTATCGAGGGTACAACTTGGAAAAACATTCATGTTTGGGTGTCCCCTCAGAGTCAAACATCCTGTCGATGTTCACTCAACACATGGAGAGAAGAATTTGGACAAATGGACTGCAGAAATTCATCAAAGATCCTCAGACAACACCTTCCAAACCCATGACCACTTCTAGCTAGAAGGACAAGAACAGCAGATATATGGGAACACAACTACCTTCAAGTTCCCCTCCAAGCCACTCACCATCCCGACTTGGAAATACATCACCATTCCTTCACTGTCACTGGGTCAAAACCCTGGAATTCCCTCCCTAAGGGCATTGTGGGTTAACCCACAGCAGGTGGACTGCAGGGTAGTTCTCAAGGGCCAATTCGGGGCGGGTAATAAATGCTGGCCAGCTAGCGACACCCACATCCCACAAATGAATGAATTAAAAAAACCCACAAGCATCCATATAACTGCACCAGAGAATGAGGCAGGGTCAGTGAGCAGAAGCATTGTAATGAAGTGTGGAGGGAAAAGTCAGAAGGGAAGTGGTTGCTGTAGCTCAGTTGTGTCCTACCTTTGTAATACAAGTTGCCTCCAGCTGAGAAGCCCCGGATCCAGCGACCCTCGTACACCATCTGCACCCAGGGTTTCAGCTTCCCATCAGGGTTAGACAGCTGACACAGACTCAAGTGGCAAATCTCCACATTCCCAAAATTCTTCTTGAAGTCCTCAATTGACATCCTGATTCAAGCACGGAAAATAATTAGTCTAGTGAGCAAATATCACAGAAACTGCAGATCACATCCACACAGTCATTAATGATGATGTCAGCAGTGGTTCAATGGGTCACGAAACTGTGGGTCCAGAATCAAGATTATTCCAGAATCTTGAACCCATAAGCTGGAGAAACACTCCCTGTCTAATACAGAGGGAATGCCGCACTTCTGTCCCTCTATGACAGCAATGTATTTATGTAACACCTCTAATGCAATAAAATGATCCATGACAGAGTGGAGTGTTACAAGGTGAAGTCAAACAGCAAGTTGCACAAGGCAATGTTAAGGCAGATGGCCAAAAGTTTAGATTTAAGGAGGATCTTTAAAGGAGAGGGGGGGAGAGAGAGAGAGAGAGAGAGAGAGTGGTGGAAGGGATTAGAGAAGGAATTCCAGAGCTTACACCCTAAGTAACTGAAGGCACAGCCGCCAACAATGAGACATTATTCCCAAGGTCCCATCTGCCCTTTCACCAAGATGGAGGGAGATAGTTTGAGGCTGAGGAGTTTTGAAGTTAAAAGTGAGGACTCTGTCCCCAACATGAAGTTGGAGTCAGTGTAAGTCAATGACTAATGGAGGGTCTGAAACGTACAATCGATCACTTACCAAAACTCTCCATCTTCCAGGTGTACCATCTGCCTACGGTTTGTGTCAGTGACTTGGCTCCACTCTGCAGACCTGCAAAAACAAAAGGCAGTTGTATTAACATCTCACTGTTCAAGACATAACCCTGAGTACGATAACGATGAGCCCAGGCATGTTATTAGTATGGAACACTCCAGAATGCCAGTAACAGTGTTTTTCAGTGACCTACACTGGGCAAGTAGCAGCGGTGTTGACAGACAGACAAGATCCACATTCCCCAAAATCTTCCCAGCAACAGTCAGAGAGTCATCCAGCATGGAAACAGACCCTTCGGTCCAACCAGTCCATGCTGACCATACTCCCAAACTAAACTAGTCCCACCTTCCCGCGCTTGGCCTGTATCCCTCCAAACCTTTCTTATCCATGTACTTACCTAAATGTCTTTTAAATGTTGTAACTGTACCCACATCCACCACTTCCTCTGGAAGCTCATTCCACACGCGAACCACTCTCTGTGTAAAAAAGTTGCCCTCATGTCTCTCCTTTTTCCTCTCACCTTAAAAATATGCCCCCGATGGGCTCCAGTGGGCTCTTCAGAGACAGCGTGGCTACAGAGTCAGTTGGTCGGCCTGTGAACCCTGGAGCAGGACCCTTGCTTCCACATGGAGTGGGACCCTGCCGGTGGCATGGCGTGGGCTGGAAAGCCTGGAGTGGGACTCCAGTGGTGGCATGGCGTGGGCTGGGAAGCCCGGAGTGGGACTCCAGTGGTGGCATGGCGTGGGCTGGGCTGGGAAGCCCGGAGTGGGACTCCAGTGGTGGCATGGCGTGGGCTGGGAAGCCCGGAGTGGGACTCCAGTGGTGGCATGCTGTAGCAGGGAGAAGGGAAAGTTGGACTCTCTCTAAGTTAGGAACAAAAACAAAGTTGCTGGAAAAGCTCAGCAGGTCTGGCAGCATCTGTGGAGGAGAAAACAGAGTTAACATTTCGGGTCCAGTGACCCTTCCTCAAAACCCTTCTCTCTAAGTTATCTTTCTTTCATTTTGTTTTAAGTTAATGGGAATGGCATCTATGTATGCGCGATGGTACATACTTTTCACTGTATTCTACATTGAATATATGTGACAATAAAGGAAATTCAAATTCCTAGTCTTGAAATCCCCCACCCTAGGGAAAAGACACCTGCCATTCACTTTATCTATGCGCCTCATTATTGTTTAAACCTCTAACGTCATCCCTCAACCTCCCACACTCCAATGAAAAAAGTCCCAGCCTATCCAGCCTCTCCCTATAACTGAAACCGTCCATTCCCAGCAACATCCTGTTGTTATCCTTCTTGGATTTCGGACAGGTGTGCTTGCAGTTAACAGGCATTTTTAATAGAGTATTGAGGAGTTTCACAGGAGTTAATCAAGGCAAATCCCTTGACACTGAGCCAGACATGGAAATATTGGGAAATACCTCAAGGTGGATTTTAAGGAGCATCTTAAAGGAAGAGAGAGTGTGAGAGAGGGAGACTAGGGCCCAGTCAGGTACCATGGCACAGCAATGAGAATCTGGGGTGCTCAAGAGGTCAGAATTAGAGGTCAGAGATTTCAGACGGTTGCAGAGTTAGCGAAGGTTAAAGAGATAATGGAAGGCATGGCTGTGTTCTCAGCAGTGACAAGATTTCCACAGAGGGTATAGAATCTCAATAAGTGAACTGCCCCTCTCTCAAATCCAGCAATTAACAGGCATGTCACATTGACTCATTATCAAGCAGAACCAATACTGGCAGCAATTACTGAATTAAACCTCTCCAACAGGATGTTCTGTTGACATGCTAAAAGGAAAATTCTAGCTGCAGGTTTTACCTGGAATCATTTTGACTTCTTTGCAGAATGCTGCGTACGAAGAATGTTTCACCTGTATAACAGTAATTTGGAGTCCAGTTCAAACAAACCACGAACAGATCACTCTGAGAAAGAGTTCTGTCTTGCAATACATACATTAATGACCCTCCAGCTGCAGAAGACCATAACACGTAGGAGCAGAAGCAGGCCTTTCAGCCCATCGAATCACCTCTGCCATTCAACGTTGTCATAGCCGATCTGATAATCCGCAAGTCTGCTTTCCTGCCTTTTCCACCTAACTCTTGATTCTCTTACAGATTAAAAATCTGTCACACTCAGCCTTTGAACATTTTAACAACCCAGCCTTGACAGCCCTTGCGGTAAAGAATTCCACCGATTCACCAGCCTTTGAGACAAGAAATTTATTCTCATTGCTGCCTTAAATGTGCGACTTCTTTGTTGGCTTTTAAAGGTTTCCCATTAAACTTTGCCACTTAGTATCAAATCGAAAGAGAAAGCATACCAAGGTGTTGTGATATTTGAAGATTAAAACTGATACCTAAATGGCCCAGAAATGGCCTCAGACCCCTGTCCTTACCCGTCACTCCAAGCCCCGTTCCACTCGACTCTCCCCCACGGATTGCGAACTCGCACCAACTCTATTCTGTTGGTCTTCACCTGAACCTGCAAAAGAAAGAAAGGAGGAGCAATGATTCAGTCAGGAAACTCCTAATAACACCGATATGAAACAGAAAAGTTACTGAGAACTGGGAAAATGCCACAGTCAGAGAAGAACCACTGAGTGTAGTTATTAGAAACAAAAGCATTGACATTTATGAAGCAGATCAATGTCTTGGACAGAGTGCAAAAGAGATCTACCAGAACGGTACTAGAAATTAAGGATTGCAGCTAACATCCCAAAGCTGGGATTGTTTTTCTTAGGGTAGATAAGGTTAAGGGAATTGTTATCAACATGTTCAAACTCAGAAAGAGTTCTGACAGAATAAATAAGAAAGAACTGTTTCCACTCAGTCAAGGGACAGTAACCAGAGGACAGAGAATTAAGAGAAAAGCAAGAGATGATAAGGAGAATTTTCTTTGAGTTCACTGAAGCACCTTGGTCTGGGATGTACTGCCCAACAAGCTGGCAGAAGCAGATTCATGAGTACCTTTCTGAAGGATACTGGATAAATATTTGAAGGGAAGAAGACTGTAAGGCTATGGAGAAAGGGTGGTAACATTTGTGGTTGTTGCCAGCCATCCAGTAGAGATACAACAAGCCAAATGGTGACCTCCTCTGCTGGAGGGTTCTATACTTCCGAGCCTTGCTGACTCGGCAGCCAATCTGAACACAGCAAGATCCCACCAAATGGCCAAAAGAATCTGCTTTACTGATGTTGGTTGAAGTAGATATTGGCCAAGGAGAACTCCTACACTTTTCTTCAAACTAGTGACCCATGGAATTTTTTGACACGCACCTGAACAGACAGCTGAAACCTGGGATTAGCACCTCATCCAAAACAGAGAATGTTGGAAACTTTGGGTGGGCATCTCCTAAACGTAACAAATCAATGTTTTGGAGGGAGCTTGGGAACTGGAGAAACATCAGGAAGATGCAGAATTAAGTTCTTCACTGTGTCATATCACGGGATATTCGGCCAGCCACTGGAGCTGCTAGTTCACTGCCCTGTTATTAGTCTTGACCAACCTGCCACCGAGAGCAACACAGAAAAAGAAACCACAGCAGGAAGACTTCTCTAAGTCCTCCAAAGAGCTATAGAGCATCACATCGAGAGGCTGGGAGAAGATCTCAAGTTCACTCCTTTGCCACAGAATTCACAAGGACTCACACAGCTCGTCAAAAAGATATGAACTATAGAAGGTTTCCATTCAGATTACAGTAGCACCTTACCTGGTCTACACCAGTCACTGAATATGCATGTCCAGTTACGATGCCTTGTTCATTTAGTATACCCACTGGCCCCTGCACAGACAATATGACCCATTAGGTTATGAAACCTTTGCTATACTCTTTTTCTCATCACAGTTATTGACCAAAATCACACATAGTAACTTTGATTTTAAAAAAAGTAATTGATATCTTTGAACTCCTGGATATTTTGAAGGGCCCTAATTACTGGTGTATCATTTCTTGTCATTGTGTTTTAGGTTTTACTGAATTATTAAGAGGATATACCCCACTCCATCTCACTGACCGTTCCAAAATAGACCTACACACACTGTAATGGTCAAAAATATACCCCACTCCCTCTCATAATACTGAAAAATATACTCCACTCCCTCTTACTAACACTCAGATTCTGAACCTCTTTCCGGAACATTTATAAAGCATTTAAATGTATAAAATATTACGAACAGAGAATCGTGTGATACAATGTCACCAGGTTAAAGGAGAAAGTGTTAGGAGGGCTGACTAGAGGAATGTCTTAGAAAGAGAGAGAGTTGGGACTGGTTTGGGGAGTGTCAGGCCAAGGTAGGCCAACAGCATGGCCTCTAATGGCAGTACTGTGAGCAGATTTGGGCACCACACCTTAGGAAGGATATATTGACCTTGGAGGGAGTACAATGTAGGTTTACAAGAATGATACCTAGACTTCAGGGATTAATTAATGAGGAGAAATTATACAAATTACGTCTGTTTTCTCCAGAATTTAGAAAGTTAAGAACAGAGTCTTCAAGATATTAACAGGAAAAGATGGGGTAGATAAAGATAAACCATTTCCACTGGTTGGGGATTCTAGAACTAGGGGGAATGGTCTAATAAAAGGGACCAGACTGTTTAGGGGAGTTATTAGGAAGCACCTCTACACAGAAAAGATGGCAGAAGTCTGGAACTCTCTTCCACAAGTGGCAGTTCATGCTAGATTAGTTGTTAGTTTTAAGACCTGTTGCTTAACAAAAATTTAAGGAGTATGGGCCAAAGGCAGGTATATAGAGTTAGGCCACAGATCAACCATGATCTCATTAAATGGTGGAACAGGTTCAAGGGGCTGAATGGCCTGCTCCTTTTCCTACGGTTACAGAATTTGGAGAGCACAAGACAAGATCTTGCACATATGTAGTGTCTTTAAAAAAAAAATTCCCAAGGTGTTTCAGGAGTGCATTTAAAATTACAAGTGGGTCTTGGAGTCAATGTAGATTTGTGAGAACATGAGTGAACAACTCTCTCATTATTTTATGAACTCTGTCTGAAACAGGTTAATCCATTACCGGTTTAGCACAGCAAATTATTGAGCCTTTCTCTAGCAGCTTTCTCAGGAATTTCCAAAGATCTTTTGGCATCTCATTGATCTGAAATGATTCAGGAGCTCCCCCAGTGAGATCAACCATCGCTTCTAATGGGTAACCAATGTAGAGAGACTCATAGGAGCCCTTCAGCCTAAAGAAACAGGGTACAGAAAGAGCTTGTTAAACAAGATCATCTTATAACACACAAGGTTCTTGGAGGTTTCTTCCTCCCTGACTTTATTCCCTTATCTCAAGCCTTTTCGCCAATTTTCGTGAAAGCACAGACTCTTCCCAGGGAACAGAACCATGGTTGCCAGCGACTTTATACTATCTAACTCATTTCAGTTTTAAGAGGTCAACCCCTTATTCTGAGACAGTGCCCTGAGTTCTAGATTCCCCAGCCAAGGGAATTTAGTGTCTCAGGATCTAATCCACCAATCCCCTCAAGAATTTTATGATCAATGAGATTGTATCTCATTCTTCTATACTCTAAGGGATGTAGACCTAGTCTACTCAATCCTTCCTCAGAGGATAATCCCCTCATCTTTATATAAAGGTGCAGTGGTCTGAAAGGATTAACAGTGAGGAGTGCCTTAAGCACCAACTACAATTATGTTGGCATGCAGAATTGTCGGGGAACAGCTTTAAGATTATATTGGCAAACAGAATTGTTAGCGAATAGCTTTAAGATTTCAAAGGAATAAAACCTACCATCCAGTCCTCCTCAGTGTCCTTAGCAATTTCTATAAATCTGTGAAACTTGTACTTACTAACATACAGTAAACTACATCCTATATAGTACAAGAGACTTTTCTCATTTGAAAAGCAAATGGATTTCCCCACCACAAGTAGATCTCTACCATAAAGAAGATGGAGATAGTAAACCTGTCATATTGTGTGTAATAGTACAATAGCATCATCCAACACGATGGTTAGCTACAAGGACTGGTCATACAACACATCCTAGGGATAACCTTTTCCACTACGAGCTGAGCTATCTTCAACTTGCTGCCATAATACCCATTAATTGCACGGCACAATTCTCAGAACACACTTACTTGGCACAAGCTTTCTCCAGGAGTGGGCTCCAGAACTCATTGTTGTCTTTGGAATAAAGGAACGCCAACTTGTTGTTAATGGTGGGTAACCGATCGTCCACCACAACCTCAACCCACTGCCCATACTGCCAGAACTTGGAAAATGAGAAGACGGACAAAACATTAGGAACGTCAGCAGCAATGACCTCTCTTACATAGGATGCCCTCAGAATGTCAGCCCTCAAGTCCCTGGATTGGGACTTGAACCCATAACCTTCAAACTCGATGTTAGGAGTGTTACTCACTGCACGAGGTAGCACCCGCTACTGTCTGTTAGACAGAATATTTACATTTAGAGACACTGGACAGATGCAAAACTAAGATGTACCTTGAAGCGGAAACAGCCCGTGTAACCTTCCCCGAAGCCCTGGTCAGGGGGTATGACCTGTTCCATCACCTGCTTATTGAGACTGAGGCAGGCAATGACTGACAGAAACCAGCAGTCACCTAACAAGAAGTACAGAAAGTGTGAATCACTGCAGGAAGGACAGGGACTTTATCCACAACACAGACAGTAGTGGTCCAAATGCTGCTAATGGCTCAGTGACTAAATGCATTACCTAGAGTGTGGCTGGTCCAAATATAACAACTATGTTTCAGCTTTGACTGACCTTCTGGGGGTCTAAGCACAGTCGAGATGCTACACTTGGCCTCAGTGCCTCAACATCCCTAAACTGCTGCCTGTCTGCTGTCAGCTAGCCTCAATATGGATGAAAATTGTTAATCAGGGCTTCCTAATCCACTGCTGCCAGGGGGTTTGAGAGATACTCAGAGTCAAATATTGCTACATTTCCCTTTGGAGGAGTAAGGATTGTTATCCAATTTATAGCATCATATGAACAGTTTTCCCAGGGCTCAGTTTCTCTCTGTCAGACTTGGAAGTGCAAGTGCCTTTCAAGGCTCAAACTTATTTTTAGAAAACTAGTAAAATCTCTGCAAATCTAAAAGGCATGGAACATGACCATGTGCTCAAGGTATTTTTAGTCATTTTGCTCAGCTGTTTTACAGCACATTTCTGGGGCAGGTGGGAATGTGAACCTGGATCTGTTGGCTCCAAGGTAGGGACACCACAACTATGCCACAAGGCTTAAACTGATCAGCTCCAAAGTTTATTGAGAACAGGACAGGCTCATTGGATATTCGCATTTAAGAGATGAGTTCTTCAGGGTTCTTATGGAGCAGTGGTGGTGTCCCTGCCTCTAGGCCAGGAGATGTAGATTCAAGCCTCACCTGCTCCACAGATGTATGTAAAAAGATCTCTGAATAAGTTGATTATAAATATCTAAGTTATGTTCTTATTTGTTACTTGGTTAATTGGGTGATTAGATGATGTGTTTTTCAAAATAAAAGGAGCTGGGTACCGCAGGGCTGGAGTGCATTATGTCCCCCTCCAACATTACTCTGATTTAGTTCTCTCCCTTGTTTCCCCAGTGAACAGCGTTTCTTCATTGTTTAGTTGATTAATGAGGTGTTTGGTTTAACTGGCGGTGGATTTATTTTCTCAATAAAAAGGCTGAGTTCTTCCCCAGTGGGGCTGTCAGTTTATTGACTGGAAAATAGTCAAGTAGGAGAAGGTGGAAATTGATGTCTCTGCCGTACTACAAACTTACAATAAAGCCTTTGTATATCTCTTACAGCCTTTTGCTGCCTAATTCAACGTACAGATATCAGTTTGAAACACTCCCCAGTGTGTAACCCCAGATGATAAAACATATTAAAGTTTAACCCAGGTTATTGGTTCTCACCCAAGGCTCCCTGGCAGATGTCTGTTCTAGTGGCTCCATCAACAATAAACTGAGGATTGGCACACATTTCCTGTGGAAACATTCATACAAAATAATTGTAGCAATTCATGGCTGTATTGATTTAGTATTTCAAATCACGCAGTGATCAAGGAGGCCACTCACACAGATTCCCTTCTAAAGGCGTTGACCTTGTAAAATTCAATTTTTAGAGAGAACATTTTGACTTTTTTAACTGGCAGAATGTCTTGCCTATGGGGTGTTGCAATTTGCTTCTACACAAATTTTGTTAGTATCTTCAGTTTCCATTAATATAGCAGAGTAAATTCGAATACTGCTGGGCACCTTTCATAGCCCAAAAATGTGAGTGGATCCCCACCCTTTACAAATTTCTGCTGATTCGACTGCTCCCACTCCCCTGTCCAGTCCCAGACTACATCTTGTGTTATTCCATATAATGACATTACCCATTGCCATCCCATTCCAAGCCCTGGAGTGGGATGACGATGGGTAACGTCATTATATGGAAACCATAGGTTCAAATCACATGTTCCCCAAAAGCACACTTGCCACACGATGTCTCAAATTACTCAGATCTGGTGTATAGCAAATTGATTTGTGTGAATATAATTTTTCTACCACAGGTGATGGCCCAAAAACAGTTCATTTTAATACATTTCAATCTTTTTTATGAGACTGATACGATGCTTTGATGCCAATCTTCTTGACCTGTATTAAGACAGCCAACATTTATCTTCTTTGTTCATGGGACGTGTGCACTGCTGGCTGGCCAACATTTATTGCCCATCCATAACTGCCCTGGGAAAGGTGTTGATAAGCCATTTTCTTAAATAGCTGCGGTCCTTTGCATGTAAGGACACCCACAGTGCTGTTTGGCTCCGAGCTTTAGAATTCTGGCCCAGGGACTCTGCAGGAATATAGTTCCAAGGTGGTGAGGATAGTGTGTTGCTTGGTGGGGAATTTGCAAGAGACAGTGTTCCATGTATCTGCTGCTCTTTCTGGGTAATAGAAGTCATGGGTTTGGAAAGTGTTTGCAGAGGAGCATTGGTGAATTTCTGCAGTGTATCTTGTAGATGGTGCTGCTGCTGGTGGTGGTACACATTGCTGTCATTGTGCACTGGTGACGAGAGTGCATGTTAGTGTGACTGGATGTCACCCAATCAAGAGGGCTGCTTTATCCTGGATGGTGTCAAAAGCCTCAATGTTGCTCGAGCTGCAACCACGCAGGCATGGAGAGTATTCTGTCACACTCCTAACTTGTGCCTGGTAAATGGTGGGCAGGCTTTAGTAGGACAGGAGGCAAGTTACTCGCTATAGAATTGTGGCTGAACATATTCCTGGAAGGTTTCATTATGACACTTCTGCCACTGGATATGCGATATGTTGATCCAATGATGCACTGCATTCCCAAAGCAATTGATAAGATGATTATCTTTATTGCCCATTTTGATGATCTTTGGCTCTGTTTAGGCATTTGACCCAATATCCAATACTTTTAAAACTGACAACTGGAAATGTTAAAAGCTTCTTTTTTTTCTTAAAAAGTCAATGATTTTCCTTAAGGGATGCTCTCTGCAGCATATTGGAGATTAATCTACAATTCCTAGAGACTCCAGGTCATGGTGAATAGTTAGCTGTTTCACAGCCCACCCAACTTGGAGTCACAATCATAAAACATAGAAACAGACCCTTTGGCCCAGCATTTATGTTGACCATCAAACACCAAACTACACCAGTCCCATTTACCTGCACCTGGCCCATAGCCTGCTATGCCCTGGCATTTTAAGTGCTCATCCAGATGCTTTGTAAATGTCACTAGAGCACCTGCCTCCATCACCCTCTCAGGCAGCAGTTCTATATATCTACCACCCTCTGGTCAATTCTGAAGGCTTGGCAACTTTAATGTTCATGGGAGTTTGCATCTGCTGCCTAGTTTTGAAGGACATTTTTCACTTGCAGTCATTGTCTGTAAAGCTAGTGGCCTTCATTAATTCACTAACTTTGAGTGAAGCCAGGGAGAGAGATGATGAAAAGCAATCATTGAAACTGAATTTGAGAGTATGGATAGTATTAAAGAACTGCTGTATCTAACTGATGCTAATTTGATTACCAGGAAAAATGAGAATTCATCTCAGCATTAGTGAAAGGCAATGGCCATCACAAAAGCAATGGTATGACCATCATGGTCCCAAATATTTCCAGTTTAATCCAGCAGACGAAGCTATACGTCAGATGGTGACAGATCATTTAGGATTTACTAGACCCGTGGATCTGGATGAGGAAATTCAGACACCACAAAACAATTCCTGCTCAAGGTACATGTGTGGAGATCCCACTGATGTGAACATAGGAATCAGGAGCAGTAGGCCACTAGTTCTCTCCACGAAACCTAGTAGGTAAGAAATATCCCCTAAAACTGTACATTGTCTCAATTCACCCCTCACCTCCCAACACATCCAACTGACAAGTATACCTGCAATTATCATTATTTTGTTCTAAATTATAGGGCTCAAAATACTCTCTCCAACAACTCAAATTTGCATTTCTGCTTTTTATAGTTTGATTAGCAGGGCAAAGCCTTCACCTAGTCACCAATAAATCCCAATTCATAATTCTATACATCAAAGGGGTCAATGTCGCTTTGCCCAAGCTGATGCATATTGCAGCGAATTCACAATTAAAAGGTTTGGCAGCCTTTCCCCAGGCTAGTCATTGACCAGTCCCACACAGCCAGAGCTTACCCGTGGCCTCATCCACCGCGTAATGGTAATGTTATATCGCGACACCCCTGATGGGCCATGGAGCGAGGAGTTGGCCGCAGGGAAGCGCAGGTCTTCAAACAGGCCGGCTGGTCCCGGGAACGGCTGGGGGGCTGGTATTTCAGCGGTTCCGGGGGAGGGGTACAAGAGGGCATTCCTCCGCAACACCAAACTGCTGTCGTAGAAACCGGGAGTGTGTCCCCCTCCGCTCCAAGGCATCCGGTACATGGCGCAAGAAGTTGGCGAGGAGCAGGAATACAAGGAGACTGGACAGGGTTTGGAATCGCTCCAAAGTTGATCTGCAGTTCCGCCTGCAGCTCAGTTCTACAGAAATCCAGTAACTAACGTCATTGTGAGGGTGGAGCAATTTCAGTACAAGGCCAGAGCTGCATGGCCAAAGGTTGGCCCCTGTTGGGAACTAATTGGCTAAAAATCACACCAACGTTTGTAATCTTACCAATTAGGCGAGCCTCATGACTCAAAGATAACGGCGAGTCTTGGAAAGGTACAGCGCAGGAGGCCATTCAGTCCACCGTTTCTGTACTGGCCCTTTAACAGAGCCTACCAGAACCCTCCCTCAATGTCACACTCTGCATTAATTCAATAGTCATATCTTGACATTGACCCAAGGCAGAATCCAATATTAAAAGATATTCAAAGGATGAAGATCTCCAGATACCTGGACATTCATATCAAATAAAAGAAAGAACTGCGGCTGTTGGAAGTGTGAAACAAAAACAGAAAGTGCAGGAGAAACTTGGCAGAACTAGCAGCATCTATGGAGAGAGAGAAACAATGTTAGCACTTCGAGTCCAATTGAAACGTTAACTCTGTTTCTCTCTCCGCAGATGCTACCAGTTCTGAGTTTCTTCAGCAATTTTTTGTGCCTGATTTTTAAAATGAGTTCAATTTTTCAAAATGTTTACATTTTTTTCTCTTATCAGCTTTTAGATATCATTCAGGTAGGACTAAATTACTGCAGATGCTGGAATCTGTACTGAAAACAAAAAATGCTTGAAATCACAGTAGGTCAGGCAGTATCTGTGGAGAGAGAGCAAGCTAATGTTTGGAGTCTAGATGAGTCTTCATCAGAGCTGTTTTCAGTTTAGATACCATTCCCCTCCCTTCAATTTATTTGTCGCGAAAACACAGGAGGTCAATTAACCCTTCACGTCTGTTCCACGATTCAATATACACATATCCACCTCTACACCCTGCTCAATATTTTCATTGTTAAAACTATTATCAATTTTATAATTGAAATTCAAATTGGTTTTGTATCAAATGCCAGTTGTCGATAAAAGTTACAAACTTCTGCCATTCTGTGTGTAGAAATGTTTCTTAATTTCACTTCTGAAAGGTCTGGTTCTGATTCTTAGACTGTGCCCTCGTCTTCAACCAGCTCAAATAGTTTCCATCTATATCATCTGTTCCTCTTAATGTCTTGGAAGCCAACCAAATCACCATTAATGGTCTAAATTCACAAAGGTACAAACAATTAAGGGTTATTTGGTCCCTTAAGCATGCTTCGCTATTCAAGAAGAGCTGCCCGATCTGTTTGTAGCCTCAACCCCACGTTCCCTGGTCCTATTCCAGGGAATAAAACCCTAGTTTGTGAAATCTCTTATGAAATCAGGTCCCTCAGACGATTATTCTTGTTTCTTTTGTTCACTTGTGGGACGTGGGTGTCACTTGCTGCGCCGACATTTATTGCCTGTCTTAGTTGCCCTTGAGAAGGTGGTGGTGAGCTGTCTTCTTGAATTGCTACAGTCCTGTGATGTGGGAACACTCACAATGCTGCGAGGGAGGGAATTCCAGAATTTTGACTCAGCAGAGGTGGAGGGAAGGGTGATATACTTCCAAGTCAAGACGATGAGTGGCTTGGAGGGAACTTTTTTTATTCATTCACGGGATGAGGTCATCGCTGGCTAGGCAGCATTTATAGTCCATCAGGCAGTTGAGAGTCAACCACATTGCTGTGGGTCTGGAGTCATATGCAGACCAGACAAGCATGGCAGTTTCCTTCCCTAAGGACATTAGTGAACCAGATGGGTTTTTCCAACAATCGGCAATGGATTCACAGTCATCATTAGACTCCTAATTCTAGATATTTATTGAAATCAAATTTCACCATCTGCCATGGCAGGATTCAAACCCAGGTCCCCAAAACATTATCTGGGTCTCTTGATTAACAGTCCAATGATAATACCACCAGGTCACTTCCAGGTGGTGGTGTTCCCATGTATCTGCTGCCATTGTCCTTTTACTCGGAAGTGGTTGTACACTCGGAATGTGCTGTCTAAGAATCTGTGGTGATTTCCTGCAGTGCATCTGTAGGATAGTACACACTGCTGCTACTGAGCGTCGGTGGTGAAGGGAGTGGATGCAGTGCCAATCAAGGCCAAGTTTCTTGTCAATAGTATCCTCTAAGATGTTGATAGTGGTGGATTCAGTGATGGTAACACCATTGAATGTAAAGAAGTGGTGGTTTGTTTGTCTTATTGCAGGTGTCCATTGCGTGGCAAATGTGTGGCACAGATGTTACTTGCTATTTGTCAGCTGAAGCCTGGAATATTGTCCAAATCTTGTTACATTTGAATGTAGACTGCTTAAGTATCCAAGAAGTCACAAATGATGCTGAACATTGCACACTTATCAGCGAATATCCCCACCTCTGACCTTATGATGGAGGGGAGGTCATTGATGAAGCGGCTGAAGATGGTTGGGCCTAGGACACTACTCTGAGGAACTTGCGCAGAGATGTCCTGGAGCTGAAATGACTGACGTCAATATCCACAACCATCTTCCTATATGCCAGGTATGACTCAAACCAGCGGAGAGTTTGCCTCAATTTCCAATTATTCCAGTTTTGCTCCTGATGTCATACTTAGTCAAGTGCAGACTTGATCTCATTGGCTGTCACTCTCACCTCACCTCTGGAATTCAGCTGTTTTGTCTGTTTGAACCACGGCTGTAATGAGGTCAGGAGTTGAGTGGCCCTGGCAGAAGCCAAACTGGGCGTCACTGAGCAGGTGCTGCTTGAACGTGCTGTTGGTGACACCTTCCATCACTTTACTGATGATTGAGTGTAGACTGATGGGGTAACAATTGGCTGGGTTGGATTTGTTCTGCTTTTTGTGGACAGGACAAACCTGGGCAATTTTCACAGGGAGATACCAGTGTTGTAGCTGTACTGGAACAGCTTGTCAACCGCTCTGGTATACAAATAGCTCTGCATTTATAAACATGACAATGACTACCTAAGCAAGTTTGCTCATTTGAAGAGCAGGGGGGGCATACAGAAAATGTGAAATACACTATATAAACATAACTTCTCCTTTGGTCCCTCATACCGTTACTGTGTATATTTTTATTTCAAAGTATACTTTATTCATAAAATCATCTATAATCACATATAGATGTTCTAAATCAGATCTGTACAATCTTTGCAGAGAAAAAAACAAATAAAACATAAGAATTTTGATGTTTCTCAGAGCTTCTCTACAGTTGCAAAGACAAAGGCATTTTCTATTCATGCGGAAAATTACTTATTATCCTTCAAGGCACCGAGAGGGGCCTGACAACTGAATGGACGCCCATTATACTTCAGCAGAAAGACCTTAGACGGTGGTCCTTCCCCACTGTGCCTTGGCAGCAGCTGCCCCAAGCTTTAATGCGTCCCTCAGCACGTAGTCCTGGATCTTGGAATTTTCCAGTCTGCAACGCTGTTGAGGTCAGCTCTTTACATTGGAAAAAAGTTCTTCACGCAGAGTGGCAGGAGCCTGGAATGCTCTGCCAGAGGAGGTGGTGGAGGAAGTGGGCATATTGGCGACATTCAAGAGGCACCTGGATGGTTACATAAATAGGGAGGGAATAGAGGGATATGAACAGAGTAAGAGCAAAAGGTTTGTTTTTCAGATTAGTTAGGGCATGATGATTGGCACAGGCTTGGAGGGCCGAAGGGCCTGTTCCTGTGCTGTACTTCTCTTTTGTTCATGTTCCCAACCATACCCTGTTCATCTACCTGACCTGTTAGGCCTCTTACTTTGAAGGAAATGCAGTTTAATTTATTAATTTTACTCTTACAATCAGTTCTCTGCCTTACATTTGCCTGCCTTGACTATTCGACTTGCATCCCCTTACCTACAGTACCAGCCTTAGCCTTTCCTCACTATCGCTTTGGTTTCCACCCTATCCCTCTTGAATAGGTCATTTCTAAACCTGAAGAGATCCCAATGGTCCAAAAATGTGAATCCTTGCCTCGTACACCAGCTCCTCAACTACACATTCATCTAGTCTATCCTCCTATTCCTATTCTTACTAGCATGTGGCACTAGTAGTTGTCCAGATACTACTACCCTCAAGGACCTACTTTATAACCGCCTACCCAGTTTCCTATATTCTCCGTGCAGAACCTCATCCCTTTCCCTACATGTGTCATTGATACCAATGTGCACAACGACCTTCTGCTGGTCACTCTCCCCATTCAAAATATTCTACACCCACTCCGAGACATCCTTGATCCTGGCACCAGGGAGGCAACACACCATCCTGATTTCTCACGAACGACTACAGAAACATCAGTCCGTGCCGCAGACTAAATACACCCCTTTTATAATCAATCGCTTGGAACCTGACATACCCTTCATTACAGTAGAGTCAGTCCTATACTTCCCTGAGAGGCCAGCCCCCACACTGTATCCAAAACAGCATACCTATTTGAGATGGGAATGGCCACAAGAGATTCCTGCACTACCTGGCTACCTCTCCTACCATTCTTGGTGATCAACCATCTATCTGACTGTATCTACTATGTCTCCACCTTCCTGAAACTGCCAATCACACCCCCTTATTCTTGTAAGCTCCTCGTTGCCTCTAACTGCTGCTCCAACTGATCCATGTGGTCCATTACGATTTTCAATCAACCACACTTCCTGCAGACATAGTCTCCAAGAACATTCAAAATCTCCCTGATCTCCCACATCTAATAGGAAGATCTTAAAACCCTAAAAATATTCAATGAATGATTAATAAAGTCGAGGTAGATTGTTGGTAAACAAGGAGGTAAAAGGTTCTCAGGGTTTGGCAGGGAAGCAGATTTGAGGTTATAATTACCTCATCCATGATCTTACCAAATGGCACAACAGCCGGAGGGCTGAATGACCTACTCCTGCTTCTAACTTCTGTGTTTCTATTTAACCTGATTGTCAGCTGTGATTAGGATGGAAGCAGGCTAAATTCAATAAGTTTTGACCAATACAAAATGCCACTCAATCCACTTATCCAAACACTTGTGTAACTGTAAAAACCAACATTATAAATGAATGAGCTCCCAAGTCCTTCGATAAATTGGCCTCTGGGCATTTTCTAAAGGAGGCTCCTGAGGAAGCATTCAGAAACAGTAGAATATCATAACTGCCCTCAACAACTTGTACTTATATAGCACTTTTAATCTAAGAGATCCCAAAGTACCAAGATCAAAAACTCTCTGGGCAGACGTACAAAAAATAAGCTTGCAGGCAATTTACTGAAATCTGAATAGGTAGGAGGGAATGAGTGGGAAATAATTTTAGTTCAGTTATGTTAAAACTTTGGCCTGATATCCTGCCAATGCTTTAGGACTTCAGTTTGAGTTCTATTGTTTTCTTACTCGTTTCTCCCAGCTGAATTTTGGAAGCAATGAGAGCTTGGAAAGGACTGACATTTATTTTTGTCTCAATGGTGGGTGGTTGGTAGGTAAATCCAAACACTAAAAATAGAAAGATTTAAGACAGGAGTGGTGGGTAGGAGAAAGAAAAGGACAAATACTTCAGTGGTTTATACAATTGTGGTTCTGTAATAACTAGCATTTATAAAATGCCACTAATGCTGTATAAAACATCCCAAGGCGTTTCACAGCAACATTTTCTGACAACAAGAAGATATGAAGATTGGTGACTAAAAACCTGCTGAAAGAGCTGGATTGTAAGGACCTTCACAAAAAGGGAGAGGTGGAGAATTTAGGGAGAGAATTCCAGGGCTTAGGGCCTAAGAAGTTGAAGATTTGGTGATGCACAAGGAGTTTTCAAAAGACCACTACAGGATAAGAAACAAATAAGGCAAGTGAAGAAAGGAACATGTTTGCACCTGTGCTTCAAATTCTTCATTCAGTAAGTAAATCTGATTGTCAATAAATTTTTTGAAATTACTTTAATTGTACAAGAATCACAGGAAGAGCATTTTGGTCAGAAAACAGCTGGGAGTCTACAATGGAGGTGTTCACTGCGATGATGCCATGATACTAGCTACACCTGGAAACAAAAGAAAACAAAACGCTTATCAGTTCCACATTCTCAATTCTAGTTTGAAAAAAATGCACAAATTATAAGGATTTCATCGACTTTATGCAGAATGAGATTCAAACCTTTTTGTATATTTAAAAAAGCTCCAAGCCATTACACTCAGTCTTGAGAGGAATATATGCAACTTTGTTTGCACAATAACAATTAGTTGGTCCTAGTCAGAGCAGCGTTGGGATTAAAAAAGCAACTTATATTTCTCTAGTGCACTTAACATAGTAAAACATCCCAACGTGCTTCACTGGACAACTAGCTGCATCATTCCCATGCTGTAGAGGCAGCGAGGGAAAATCTGCTCTGTTTCCTGCTCCACATGGTAACCCAGTAACCACTAGTCCTCCAATTCAGGGATAGCCCTGCAGTCCAAATAACAGGTTAGGGCAGATCAGGTTGACTTGTAGAAGGACAGCTCCCTCATGGCCCAATACATATCTGATGCTCACATCTGTACAATGGGTGATTGAGATGTTACTAGAAACAGGACCCTAGACAGCCACTGTCACAAAAGCAGGGAATCAAATTCTTTATTAACACAAGAAACAAAGCCACGGTCTAATCATGTTATTCCTGAGGTGACATATAAAATAAAACTCACTGTCAAAATCTATCTTTTCCACAATGTTTTTGGGCTTGATACTTTCTTCTTGGTTGCAAATGAAGATTTTATCTGGTTCAGCCTCGACCCAGCCGTACTTACTCATCCAAACTTGCAACTGCATATCTGAAAAACAAAAGTTTATACACGTTGAGACATTGCAGATCACCTAACTTCCAAAGACAAAATTAAAAACTAGACGATAAGACTGTATCCATTCAATCTTCGGAATAGTGGTCAGGTTTGAAATGACAAAGTGGCGTCCACACATTGAGGGTTTATACTCTGAATCAGAGCACATCCAGATAGGGAGGGGCTAAATGAAGGTCAGACACTGTTGTAGGAAGAAGGGGATCAACCTCTGTGCATTTTCTAACATGCTGACTGATTTCAGAATGGCAAAATAAACATTCCACTGATCATTGCTAAAGATTGAGAATATTGTGTTCAGCTGTATCAAGATCCAAATCGTTGTTTAAAAAAAATGATTCTGGGAAATAGCATTGCTGGAAAGCCAGCAGTTATTCTGCAGTGACATCAAAGGTTAATGCAGTAAAAGAAGCTCATGGTAGATGGGGTAGCACATTGGCATGGACACAAGATTAAATGGCTAATAGTAAACAGAGAGTAGGTGTAAATGGGTCTTTTTCAGGTTGGCAAGATGTAATGGGTGGTGTGCCACACGGATCAGTGCAGGGACCTCAAGTGTTGGATGAAGAGACAGGTTGTATGGTTACCAAATTTGCTGACGATACCAGGTCATGTAGGAAACTAAGTTGTGTAGAGGACACAGGCTACAAAAATATATTGATAGGTTATGTGAGTGGGCAAAAATGTAGAAAATACAGTTGAATGTGGGAAGATATGCAATTGTCCATTTTAGCAGGAAGAATTAAAATGAAGCATGTTATCTAAACGGTGCAAGATTGCACAGCTCCGAAATACAGAGGGTCTGGGTGTCCTAGTACATAAATCACAAAAGGTTATTATGCAAATAAATCTAATAGAATGTTATCATTTATTGCAAGGGATACTGAATACAAAAGTAGGGAGGTTATGCTTTAGTTAGAGACGGCAACAGTGAGATTGCATCTGGAGTACTGTCTACAGAATTCCAGTCACCTTATTTATGGAAGGATGTAATTCCATTGGAAGATGTTCAGAGAAGGTTTACTAGACTAACATCTGGAATTGTATCTGCTGGAGTTTTTAAAAAAAAACAGCAATATGCGACTTGGCTGAAACAAATAAAATTTTGAAGGGTCTTGACAGGGTAGATATGGAGAAGTATTTCCTCTAATGGGAGAATATAGAACTAGGGATCACTGTTTAAAATCAAAGTGTGTTCATTTAAAACTGAGATGAAGTGATTTATTTTTCCTCTGAGAGTTGGGGGTCTTTGGAAATCTCTTGCTGAAAAATTGGTGGAAGCAGAGTTCTTGAATATTTTTCAAGACAGAGATAGACAGATTTTTTGTTTAATAAGGATATGAAGGGTTGGCTGCAATTTGGATTTGAGGTTACAATGAAATCAGCTGTTACCTTACAGAAAGGCAGAGCAGGCTCAAGGGGCTGAATGGCCTCCTCTTGCTCCTGATTCACATGTTTGTATACACATTTTAACAACAGAGTCTAAATTCACTTCATATTTTGAAAGAGCAACTACATGTAGCCTACTCTGGTAAAGGATGAGGACAGGTAAGAGTATAATCACATTCAGCTACCACAAGTTGACAGTTACTAATTTATTAATGTGAATTGCTGACATGTTGCAAAAGGATATCAATGGGTCTACAGGAAGCACTGTACCAGGTCTTTTGAAAATAGGAACCCAAACATAAATTGTAATTGAGGCCAGGTTTCAAGCTTTGGTACAAATACCAAAATACTGTGGACGCTTAAAATTTGAAATAAGAACAAGAAATGGAAGGAAAACTCAGCAGGTCAGACAGAACCTGTGGGGAGAAACAGAGTTAATATTTCAAGTCAATGTCCTCTCATCAAAATTTTGTATCACAAGTTCGATACTGCAACTGGAAAAGCCATTTTCTTCCCAAAGTCATTAATTCATTCTGAGGTAATCCCTACAGCCATCCTGAGGATTCAAATCCAGTCACCTTCAAGTGGCTCATCCAAGAAGCCACTCTTCACAATAGCGTGAACAGGCCATTCAATCATAATCAAATACTGGTGTAAAAGCCGTAGGGAAATGATCTGAAAGCACTTCACAGACAGAAAAAAAAAAAATCGGATGTTAAATAGTGAGAGAAGGAGAATGAGAATGAAAGAAAGGTGACTGAGAGGGTGAAAAGGTTAGGTTTGAGAAGGCTTTTAAGGGAAGACAGAGATGTGGTGGTTTCAGGAGTGGATTCAGTGGTATCTCTCACTCTTAACCAGAGTAAGATCTAATCATAGTCAACTGGAATCACACCAGAGACATTTTAATTTGAATGGCTTAGTGGCACACTGCCTTGATCAACAACTACAAAGGACAGTCCGTAATATCTTTGCTGCACAAAGAAACACAAGCAAAGGGTCATAACTGAAAATATTAAAAATGAAGATTGTAATCAATTCTTCATGACTTAGCAAGCTTTTTTTTTTAAACAAAAAACACGTTACAAGATCACATCAAGAATAGAACATTGAGAAAGAAGTCCCATGACAAAGGGATTAGAATAATTAGGTAGTTGTTTTTGATCAGCACAGACACGATGAGTAGAAGGGCCTCTTTCAGTGCTGTAGACATCAATAACTTATTCTTTCCAAGGAGCTCAAAGCTTAAGTTAACAAAGGACAACACAGGGATTCTGATTTTAACACTAAGGGAACTGTGCAGGTGAACGTTTATCTCTGACTGCACAACAGTATACTACATTTGCATTAAATTTATTCAAAAGATTTACCCACTCACAGTTTCATCATTGCACCTCAGTGAAACCAACCCTGTGTAACAGTTCAGAGGTACCATCTCATAGTCAACATTAACCTTACCCGTCAGATCTCCCAACATTTCAGCCAGCAGCCACTTCTCAATTGTTTGGTAAGTAATTCCAACGACGTGACAGATAACTGAGGAAAGAATTCCAATGGTTTAGGAGTCATCCCAGATAGTATAGTTTGAACATCCCACACAAACAGCTGATTCTACCTCAAATATTTGATCTTGTCTATAAAGTAACTAAAACGTTCTGGTGCCAATTTAGTCAAACAGCAGTAGCTGTTTTATGTAAAATCCATCAAAAACAGCAATCTAACAAATAGCATCTAACTCCTCCAACAAAAATGCTATCTTTCTATTAAGATCTCATAAATGGCAGTTATAATATTGTCCCCTTGCACAGTTTCCTTCTTTATTTACAGGAAAATCAAAGCAGTTTTCTGATTGTACTTACATTTTCGCACTGAATCTTCAAAGCTTGTTATTCCATCAATCAGCTCAGCGTTTTCTTCCAGGTTGCGCTGATGGAGAAGTACATTGAAATTAAGTAAATGTTGTTCCACAGCAGAGTGTAGTGAGCTGATTGTCACCTCATGATCACTTGTTAATCTCCTGTAATCTACCATTTCAATCAGTCAGGCAGTATGCGTTTCACTGACATACACCTCTTCCCCCCTTTTCTCAAAGCACAATAACAGTCCAAGTCATCTGCAAAGCTGAAGCTCAATGTTGCATGGTTCTTCAGCAGAAATGTGATGGAGGGACAAGCAATGCCAACAATTTTAATCTCTCAGCTGAGAGTGTTGGCAGATCACATACCAGGTTCTCTTGGACACTGCTACTTTATTATCTAAGACAGACTATGTGATAATGGAATAAGTGAATGCACTATAATCTAGCCTCCAAATGTAGGAAACTTTTTATCCTGCACATAGTGGTGAAAGTAGCGTCAGAAAATGAGCATGGAGGAGAAAATGCTATTGCAAAAATCTGTGTTATCATACCAGGTTTAAATGAACTGAAACATCGCAATGCTGTTCTACTATGCTGCCATGTCAGAGGCCAAGTTGAACAAAGTCCAACATCAAAAGCTGCCTTCTAATTCATACAGATCTAAGACAATTAGTTACATTTTAATTGGGAGTTTCTAACATGGCACAAATATAAAATAACAGTCTGAGGCACTTCACTCACCCAGAAATCCTGGAAGTGGCAGGTCTCCAGCAGATCACCGAGATTCAGGATCTGCTGGATTGGTCGTTCTTCTTGCTGTTTATGCTTCATTAAGGAAGATCAATCACAATACTTTCAGCAGAACTCTATCATGCTTAAGAAACAAGGATTATTTTTTAAAACATCCAATCCTTGCCACTTATCACCTGCAGTCACCTAAATCGGACAGATGGAGCAAACTATTTGAACAATCCCACAAGAGTCAAGTGATTAGAAGACACATGCACCCACTTCACTGGCCATTCTTCACACCCTGTTAACCCTACCACAATATTTAATATGCTCCAAGGACCCCAGAAAGCCTTGGAGCTGGCCTATCTCTCCCATGACACCCACTTTGCCAGCAGACTGATTTCTTCCAGCCAGTACAGGAAATGAGTGAGAACTGCATCTTGAATCATTTGGTAGTATAGTCAGCAGTAGAGACCACAAGGATCACAGTAACAGCTTCATTATCTACCTATACTGAGCAAATTGCATTACTACAAAAATGTGCCCTCTACTATAAGTGACAGGGACTACATCTCAAAATGCAACCATTATTGGCAATTGACATGCAACAAAATAGTAAGAGCAGTGAGGGAGGACAGCTGTGAAGATCATGTGAAGCTTCAACAACTATGAGCAGAAGAGGAATTGGAATCAGTACAACTTTTCAGAAGCCAGGAAAGTTGCACATCTCATTTCACAAAAAAACAGACAGAACAATACACTCAGAGCTCCTCTGAGGGCACACTTGGTCAACGCAGGATCCAATGTACAAAACTGTATAGAAACAAGCTTCTGCATAAAATGGGATTTTGTTTCGCTTGTGCGAAGTAGGCATTGCTGGCTGGCCGCATTTATTGCCCATCCCTAGATGCCCTTCAGAAGGTGATGGTGCACATTGTAGAATATGGCTATTTGTCCCATTAAGTCTGTGCTGGTTCTTTAAATCCACAATTTTCTTACTCAGGGGACAATATGAGCAAAAATCAAGAGACTGTAGTACAGCAACATGAGACTTGGATCTTAAAAAACTGAGGGAAGTAAACAGTTGCAACAGAGTGGGATATAAATTTCAAACGATACGCTCATTCTTTTTCCATTCATTCACATGATGAGGGCATTGCTGGCTAGGCCAGGAGGACAGTTAAGCATCGACCACATTGTTGTGGGTCTGGAGTTACATGTAGGCCAGTTCGGGTAAGGCTAGCAGTTTCCTTGCCTAAAGGACATTAGTGATCCGGATGGGTTTTTACAACAATTGACAATGGATTCACAGGCATCATTCGACTCTTATTCCCAGATTTTTTCAGTTCAGTTTTTCCACAGTCTTCATTTTCCCTCTTAGCTGGAATACAAAAACATGAGTGCTCTGACATATTAGTTGCATCCATTTGTTGATGAATAAAAAAGCTGGTAAACAAACCCATGCTGAAGCAGCAGCCTCTCTGGTAAGGATACATGTGCCTGGTCAATCATACATTTGCAGAGCGTAAAATCAGTGTGTGGCAGATTCGTCAGTGCTTTCAGCAAGATCTGTGCTGTGACAGTGGTCTGGAAGAAAGCAGGATTGAACTGATACCTGTGTGGAAAAAGACAGGTATATAGATCAATGAAAGAGCCATTTCTGCACATTCTTTTAAATTTGGGGAAGTCCCTTTCTTTCCATTTCCTTTCAGTTAGTCTTTGCATCATTAATTGAGAAACAGGAAAACCAAACTAATCTCAACACTGGTCAACACTGTGAACTAAGAAGCGCCTAGCAGAAGATTGATTGAGACTGTGCTGGAGGGAGGTTCAAGCCAAGCATTCATTATCTGAAAACTAAAATGTTGGACAGTATGGAGAAAAGACAGGGCAGTGGTTTTAGGTGAACTGTCCAGCAGAGGGCCAGGATAGACAGATGAACCAAATAATCTCCACCTGTGCTATAACCAATCCAAGATTCTATGTTGACTGAGCTGGCTTCAGGGAAGGGACCCACAATTCACTTCAGCAACCAGAGGTTAGGAATAAGATAATCTGCCAGTGGGGAAGTCTGGTCCCCATAAAGAGACTACTGTGCAAGAACTCTATGTTCATAGATCAATAATAGTGAAATGATAGGTATTGACCAGCACCCTGAAGCTGGGAAGTTTATTCCCCCAATAATAGAACAGTATCTTCAGGAAAGGAGAAGTGAAAAATGGAAAGGGAGAAGATACTCAGGTTTCTCGAAGTTAAATAAAATCCAACTGACGAATAAGAACAGAAAAGGCAGGAAACATTCAGGCGGCATCTATGGAGTGAGAAACTGGTAACATTTCAGGTCAATCAGAATACTACAGAGTATACGTACAGTTTAAGAACTGCCAGATTGGCTTCCAGATCATATGCATTCTCTCTGGCCTGCGTCTCCACATAACGTTCCAGTGTTGATAGATTCTCAGGGTTATACCTATGGAGGAAAGAGGACATAATTGGTGATGCCATTGTCTCTCAAAAATCCAAATGCCTGATTAATAACCCTGAGAACAGGTGTGAAATACCACTGCAGTGGTTTGTAAATTTGAAGTCGGTTAAAATAATCTGAAAAATCTTGAATCAAGGAATAAGAAACATACAAGTTCTTCAGGGTGAGAATAAAACAAAGTTTTGATGAAGAGTCACCGCACTCAAGATGTTAGTTCTGCTTTCTCCCTACAGATGTTGCTAGCCCAGCTGAGTTTCTGCACTTTCTGCTTTTGCTTCAGGGTAAGAGATCTGCCATTCTTAAATGGTCTTAACCATGTTGATACTTTACTTTCCTCAGTAAATATAATACAAATCAAATCAAAACCCTGGAACTCCCTCCATAACAGCACTGGGGGTGTATCTACAATTCAAAGACTATAGTTTTTCAAGAAGATAGCTCACTACCACCTTCACAAGGGCCGGTTGGGATGGCCAACAATTGGATTAGCTAGTGATGCCCCCACCCCATAAACAAATATAACAAATCAGCCACAGAAAGACAGAAGTAGAAGGTCATTCAGCCCATCAAGCCTGCTCCACCATTAAATATGATCATGGCTGGTCCTCCATCTCAAAACCAGAAGACCGCTTTCTCCCCACAACTTTAGCCTCTAGACATGTATTAATTTCTTAAATATATACAGTGACTTGGTCTTCACAGGTTCACCATCCTCTGAAGAAATTTTTCATCTCAGTCTGAAGTGGCCCTTGGTCTAGATCCCCTGGAAAGGGGAAACATCATACCTGTTATCTAGGGTGTCTAGCCCTGTCAGAATTTGATCCCGTCATTCTTCTGAACTCCACTGAATACAGGCCCAATTGACCCAATTTTTCCTTGTATGACTAACCTGCTTGCACAGGAATCAGTCTGGTGAACCTTTATGGCACTCCCTCTATGGCAAGTATGGTTTTACTTAAGTAAGGAGCCAAACATTGCACTCAATACTCCAGGTGTGTTCTCACCAAGGACTTATACAGCTGGACTTTCTTGCTCCAGTATTCACATTCACTAACAACAAAGACCAACATACCATTTGTCTTCCTAACCGCTTGCTGCGCCTGCATGCTTGCTTACAGTTACCCTTGCACAGGGACACTCAGGTCAGCCAATTATCGCAGGTGAGCACATCAACATTTTCCAATCTATCATTTAAACAATACTCTGCCATTCTGTTTTATCTGCTGAGTGGACACCTTCACACATGCTACATCTGCTATGCAATTGCCTACTCAGTGGGCTCGTTCAATTCACCTTGAAGCCTCTTTTCATCCTCCTCACCACTAAACATCCAGTCAACACTCCAGTTATTTATATTGGTAAGTGATATTGTGGTCATGGTTCCCAGAGAATCAGCTGTGGCTCAGTAGGTAGCACTTCAGCTCTGAGTAACAAGGTTCTGGGTTCAAATCCTAGAAATTAAGAATATGGAGTTGACAGAAAATAAGGAGGAAATGGTGGATGAAGTGAGCAAACATTTTGCTTCTATTTTCACTATAGATAATATGGGGAACATTCCTGTAGTGGCCTTGGATAGGGAGGTGGACGTACAAAGAACTTTACTTAAATTATCACTAGGAAGTGGTACTCAGTAAACTGATGAAGCTACAGGCTGACAAGTCTCCTACTTCAGACATATTTCATTGTAGGAGCAAATGAGATAATTGGTGTGTCGGTATTAATTTCCCAAATTCCTTAAATTCAGGAAAGGGTTTCCTCAAACTGGAAAGTATCAAATACAATCCTCCCATTGAAGAAGGGAGGGAGACAGAAAATAGGAAACTACAGACTGCTTAGCTTGATGTCTGTTGTAGGGAAAGTGTTACAATCAATCATTAAAGAGGTTATAGCTTGGTACTTTGAAAAATTCAAGGCAATGGGGAAGTCAGCATTGTTTTGTCAAAGTCATGTTTAACTAATTTATTAGATTTCTTTGAAGCAATAACACCCACTTTGCAGAAAAGGGAACTGTGGATGTACTTGAATTTCTAGAAGGCATTTAGTAAATTGCACATCAAAGGTTAGTGTGGAAAATAGAGCCTCACGTACAAAATAGAGAGTATGCATAAAGGGTCCTTGTCTGATGGACAGAATGTGATGAGTGCAGTCCTACATGGGTCTGTTCCCACTCTTTACAATTTACATCAATGGCTTAGATGAGTGGTTGATGGCATGGTAGCTAAATTTCAGATGACACCAGGATAGGTAGGAAAGATGTGAAGGAATGCATAAGGAGTTTGAAGACAAATGTAGACAGATTGAGTGAGTCTGCAAAAGTCTGGCAGATAAGAGCGATATGAGAAATTGTGATGTGGAGGTGCCGATGTTGGGCAAGGTCAAAAATCACATGATACCAGGTTATAGTGTAACAAGTTTATTTGAAATCACAAGCTTTCGGAGCGTTACCCCTTCCTTAGGTGTAATGAGAGAGGAAGTGTCAAGACACAGAATTTCTCAGTAAAAGGATTATACAACTGACGCAAATATATTTAATAACCCTAAATTAGCTGGCTGACTCCCTCCTGTTAAATCTTTAATCAGTTAGAAACAGGAGGGAGTCAGCCAGCCAATTTAGGGTTATTAAATACATCTGCATCAATTGTATCATCCTTTGATCTTTTACTTTTCAATTTTGTGTCTTGATACATCCTCTCTCATTATACCTGAGGAATGGGCAACTCTCCGAAAGCTTGTGTGTTCAAATAAACCTGTTGGATTAAAACCTGGTGTCATGTGATTTTTGACCTTGGGAAGGTGTGTATTTGTTCACATTAGTAAGGAGAATGAAAAAAAATTACTTAAATGAACAACAAAATGTTAAGAGTGCAAGCACGTAATCAAGAAGGTTAATGGGATTCTATCCTTTATTACAAGAGGAACTGAAAGTAAAAGTGAGGATATTATGCTTCAGTTGTACTGGAGCGGTTGAGACCACATCCTAAGTGCAGTTTTGGTATTTTAATTTAAGGAAGGATAGAAATGTGTTGGAGGCAATTCAGAGAAGGCTTACTAGACTGATACCTGGAATGAGCGATTTGTCTTATGAGGATAGGCTGGGCTCATTTCCACTGGCATTTAGAAGTGTGGGAAGTGACTTCATTGGTGTACAAGATCCTGAATTCTTGACAGGTTGGATGTGGAAAGGATGTTTCCTCTTGTGAGTAGAATCACAGAATTCACACAAGTGTGGAAGCAGGACACATCAACCCTCAAAAGATGAAAATATAGATGGGTGGATTGTTACGTTTGCAGACCGATACAAAGATTGGTGGAGTTGTGGATAATATGGAAGGTTGTCAAAGGATACAGTGGGATATAGATCATTTGCAGTTGATAGGTGGGGAAATGGCAGATGGAGTTTAATCTGGGTAAGTGTGAGATGCTGCACTTTGGGAAATCAAATATAGTCAAAGAGATATACAGCACAGAAAGAGACCCTTGGGTCCAACTCGGCCATGCTGACCAGCTATCCTAAATAAATCTAGTCCTATTTGCCAGCATTTGGCCCAATCCCTCTAAACCCTTCCTACTCATATACTCATACAGATGCCTTTTAAATGTTGTAATTGTACCAGCCTCCACCACTTCCTCTGGCAGCTCAATCCGTACATGCACCACCCTCTGTCAGAAAAAGTTACCCTTTAGGTCCCTTTTAAATCTTTCCCCTCTCACCTTAAACCTATGCCCTCTAGTTTTGGGCTCCGCCACCCCAGGGTAAAGACCTTGTCTATTTACCCTATCCATGCCCCTCATGATTTTATAAACCTCTATAAGGTCACCCCTCAGCCTCCAACGGTCCAGGGAAAATAGCTCCAACCTATGCACGCCAAGATATCTTATAAGTATAAATCCTGCCCTGATTTCACATTTATCTAAATTAAACTCTATTTGCCATTCTTTGATCCACTGGCCCATCCAATCAAGATCCCGTTGAACTGAGGTAACCTTCTTCGCTGTCCACTACACCTCCAATTTTCATGTCGTCTGCAAACTTACTAACCATACCTTCTATGTTCACATTTGAATCATCTATATAAATGACGAAAAGAAGTGGACCCAGCACCGATTCCTGTTGGTCACAGGCCTCCAGTCTGAAAAGCAACCCTCCACCACCACCCTTTGTCTTCTAACTTCAAGTCAGTTCCGTATCCAAATGGCTAGTTCTCCCTGTATTCCATGTGATCTAACCTTGTTAACCAGTCTACATGAGGAACCTTGTTGAATGTCTTACTGAAGTCGATATAGATCACGTCCATCACTCTGCACTCATCAATCCTCCTTGTTACTTCTTCAAAAAACTCAAGTTAGTGAGACATGATTTCCCACACACAAAACCATATTGATTATCTCTAATCAATCCTTACCCTCCAAATAAATGTAAATCCTGTCCCTCAGGATCCCCTCCAACAACCTGCCCACCACCAATGTCAGGCTCACCGGTTTGTAGGTCCCTGGCTTTTCCTTACCACCTTTCTTAAATAGTGGCACCATGTTAGCCAACCTCCAGTCTTCTAGCACCTCACCTGTGGCTATCGATGATACAAATATCTCAGCAAGGGGACCAGCAATCACTTCCCTAGCTTCCCACAGAGTTCTAGGGTACACCTGATCACGTCCTGGGGATTTATCCACCTTTATCCATTTTAAGCTGTCCAGCACCTCCTCCTCTGTAATATGGACATTTTTCAAGATGTTGCTATTTATTTCCCCACGTTCTATATCTTCCACATCCTTCTCCACAGTAAACACGGATACAAAATACTCATTTAGTATCTCCCCCATCTCGTGTGGTTCCACACATAGGCAGCCTTGCTGATCTGTAATGGGTTCTATTCTTTCCCTAGTTACCCTTTTGTCCTCAAGGAATTGTAGAACCTCTTTGAATTCTGCTTAACCCTATTTGCCAAAGCGATCTCATATCCCCTTTTTTTCCCCCTCCTGATTTCCCTC